GCTTAACTTCTTTCATGCAACAAGCTTGGGGACTCAATATTGAATTTTGCCAATCAAATAAAAACAGAAGTTGTTGCAGTTTGGTTCTTACGTATGCACCATAAGCATATTATCGGTGCCAGTGAAGCGTCTAGGCTAGTGCTAAGGCCGAAGCCTTTTCAACTCTCACCTTATGCATGTGAGTCTACATCTAGATCTTTTTTATTTTATTTTTTCTTTTTGGTTATTTAGAGAATTGAATTGTATATTTATATAGAACACAGAATTAAGTAAACTGTAATTAATGTATACAAATACATTCGAAAAAGAAAGCTTATCTGTAACAAAACTAACAAGTCTTGTGGAATGCCAGAAATTGTATGGTAGGATTGCATTTTCACTATATATATCAAATATAAATCAATGCAAAATCTTTGGAAGTTCTTTTTTTTTTTTTTGGAAATGAAAATCAATTTGAAAATTTGAACACAAATTATAGCTAGTTTGCGAGAATGATGATAGAATATGATATCAAATTATTTGACATCCAAACTGATGAACAAAATTATACAGGATTATTTTTGGTACATATTATAATTTGAAATACATTGGTACTGATTAAACATCATCAAATCTAACATTCATGTAATCTGTAATCAGTTGAAGGGCATGGGACGATGAGGAATGGGAATTAAGCACAGATCATATTTTCTTCTTGCCACAGTGCTGAAAACCTCTGTCATGTCTACATCTTCAGGCTTCTTTCCATCCGGTAGTTTCCGATCAAAATGGAAGAGCAAATTTGCAAGTTCAAGTTCAATGTTGGCCATGCCTCAGGTCTGCAGATCAAAGGTGTGGGAAGGAGACTATATGGTTTCATAGTTACTTGGACTTTGTGGCTAGCTAGGAACAATGCAATATTCAAAAACACCATTGCTGACGACAAAAGTTGTTGGACTCAATTTAGGCTCAAACCTACCAATGGCTACACAGTATTGGTGAATGTGTGGACACATCTTTCTAGGACTGGTTGTTGGAACTAGCATTATGCATGTTAAGATGTGAACACAATTATTCAAATTGTATTCATAATTATTGTAAATATTTTATACTTTAGAATATTTTCTTTGTAGACTTTATACATTAGAATATTCTCTTTGTAAACACCTATATATAAACCATTATACATACAGTATGATTCAAGAAAGCAATAAACCTTTCTTCAAATATTTCTTCTCCTTTCCAATTTCTAACATGGTATCAAAGTGATAAGCTCCTAGTCCTTTTCTCTTATCGTCACTGTTTTGTTTTTAGAGTTGTATTTCCAATTCCATTCCAGATCTGAAACTTTGTCATTGGGATTTCTTCTCCTACAGATTGGATTGTTTATCCTCAATTCTCAAGCCCTTTCTGAGATATTTTGTTGGTTTGTTATTTCGATATTGGCATCTATTTCTTCATATTTTTTAGAGTTCTTCAGTATTGTGAGTTTTACTAATTCTATGATGAGTTTTGAAAAAACTGCAACTCATCCTGCTACTACTATGGTTGCCAAAGAAGTGATAGACCAACCTATTGTCAACCTTAAATCCCTAAAATAGGTGATATTGAATCTTTTTAATGCTCCTACTACCTTATCTATTACTCCAAGTACCAAACCTTAATATTTTGATTTTGGTTGTTGTAACAATATGTCTTCAATTACTGCTCATTTCTCTTCAACGTCACCAAATAATTCATTTCCTGATATTTATTCTACTGGTTGTACCCCTATGAATGTTAGTCACATTGGCAATTTTTCTACAAAGTCATTGACTTTACCAAATGCCCTCTTAGTTCCAAAACTTAGTTATAATTTTCTATCTATTGGTCAACTATGTGATCTTGGTCTTGAAGTAACATTTTTTGCTCATGGTTGTCGTGTGCAAGACCCACAGACTAGACAACTTCTTGGAATTGCTCGCAAGGTAGGGCATTTGTTTGAGCTCAACTATCTGTATATTCCTAATAATAAAATTGATACACCATCATTTCCAAATGATCGATTCATCCAAACCTTGCTTTGTGCTATTGAATTAGAGTCTTTAAAAATTCCACACAAACAAATTTCGCAAGCCTGTGTTGGTATTAATGTCTCGACTCTCCATTTGTGGCACTCACGACTTGGACATACCTCAGTCGGTAAACTTTGTCCACTCATCTCTTGTGGTTTATTAGGATCAATTCCGAATGAATCCTTGTATTGTGTGTCATGCCAATCTGCAAAGCAACCAGCTTTATCTTTTTCGAGTAGTCATTCTGATTCTACTACTCCTTTTGATCTTGTGCATTCTGATGTTTGGGGTCCATCTCCTACACCCACCATAGGGGGTTCTAGGTACTTCGTGTTATTTATTGATGATCATACTTGTTTTACCTGGATATACCTTATGAAAAATGCTCTGAATTATCACAAATTTATATTGATTTTGCTACCATGGTAAAAACTCAATTCTTTAAAAATATCAAAGTTTTGAGAACTAACAATGCTACTAAATAACTTAGAACTAAACTTCAATTCTTTTTTAAAGAACAGGGAATACTGACACAACAATCTTGTCCCTAAACTTCTAAACAAAATGGGCAAGTCGAACACAAACATAGATACATCCTTGATTCTATTCATGCTCTGCTCATTTCATCTTCTTGTCTAGAGCAATTTTGGGGTGAAGCTGCTCTTACAACTGTTTATCTTATTAATTGTATTCCATCATCAGTTGTTTATCTTATTAATTGTATTCCATCATCATTCCTTAATAACCAGTCTCCATACGAGCGTTTACATGGTATTCTTCTTGCCTATATTCTCCTTAAGGTTTTTGGTTGTGCATGTTTTGTTCTTCTTCCACCTCATGAACATAACAAGTTAGAGCCTAGATCTCGATTATGTTGTTTTTTGGGTTATGGGATTACACAAAAAGGATATCATTGTTGGGATCCTATGTCACAAAAACTCCAAGTTTCACATCATATTGTCTTTTTGGAACACACTATGTTCTCATCGTTGTCAAACTTCAAAGTGTCATCCTTTCATCAACCTCCATTTTTTTACTAGTGATCCTGATGCAGGTACATCTTATGAGCTCTATAATGCCTTACCACATGCTGTACCTAGTTTTAGAGAAGATGATCTGCATGCTAGTGATGTATTAGATAATTTTGAGCCTTCTTCTACTTCCTCCTCTATATCACGTATTGATATTATTAAGTCTACAAATGAGCTTGTTGTCCCATCCTCGAGTCATCCTACTTGGGTAAGAAACCCTCCAAACTACCTTCGTGATTATCATTGTTTTCCTGCTATTGCTTCTTTACATGAGTCTTAATCCTATCAAAAGGCATCTTCCAACCCTCTTTGGCAACAAGCTACGCAAGATGAATTATAAGCTCTTGAGAACACTTGTACATGGGATTTAGTTGATCTCTCTGCTGAAAAGTCTCTAATAGGCTGTAAATGGGTGTACAAGATCAAAACATGATCTAATGGTTCTGTGGAGCGTTAGAAGGCACATTTGGTTGCCAAGGGTTTTACACAAGAGTATGGAATAAACTATGAGGAAACTTTTGCTCTAGTTGCTCGTCTAACATCTGTATGTAGTTTGCTTATTATCGCTGCTATATGGAGATGGAAATTGTTTCAGATGGATTTGAAAATTGCTTTTCTTAATGGTGACCTAGAAGAAGAAGTTTATATGAAACCACCTCTTAGGCTCAACCATCCTCCAAACAAGGTATGCAAATTGCGACATGCATTATATAGGTTGAAACAATCCCCTCGAGCCTGGTATGCAAAGTTTAGTGCTATTGTGAGTGAGTTTGGTTTTACTTCCAATCCACATGATACAGCTTTGTTCATTCGTAAGACTGCTTGGGGTATGGTTCTTTTACTTCTTTATGTTGACGACATGATTAGTACTAGAGATGATGTTGCAGATATTGAGGAGCTAAAACAATCTCTCAGTCAGAAATTTGAGATGAAGATCTTGGTGTTCTGTGCTATTTTCTGGGGCTTGAAGTCGCCTCTTCTGATGATGGCTACCTGCTGTCTCAAGTAAAGTATGCCTCTAATCTTGTTTCTAAAGCTAAACTCAACGATGGTAAGAGTGTTTCTACACCTCTTGAACCTAATGTTAAGCTTACACCTATGGATGGCTCTCCACTTTCGGATCCTACTCGCTATCGGCAATTAGTTGGTAGTCTGGTTTATCTTACCACAACACATCCTGACATAGCATATGCAGTTCACATTGTTAGTTAGTTTATGGCTGCTCCTCGCTCCACTCATTATGCAGTAGTACTTCGCATTATTCACTATGTTAAAGGAACATTGTTTCATGGACTCCATTTTTCTGCCAACTCCTCCCCTGTGCTTCATGCTTACTCGGATGATGATTAGGCTGGTGATCCTTCTGATCGTAAATCTACCACAGGTTGTTGTCTTTTCCTTGGTAATTCTCTTATCTCTTAGCAAAGTAAGAAACAAAGTATTCCATCTTGCTCTATTACTGAAGCTAAGTATAGAGCTCTCAGTGATACCACATCAATACTTCTTTCACTACGATGGCTTCTAGAAGATATGGGTATTCCTCAGCCTTCTTCTACTGATTTATATTGTGATAATAAAAGTGCTATGCAAATTGCTCATAATGATGTCTTCCATGAACGCACTAAACATATTGAAGTTGATTGTCACTTTGTCCGCCATCATGTTGCACAAGGAACTATTCATTTGGTTTTTATTAGCTCCGCTGATCAACTAGCAGACCTCTTTACCAAAGCTCATTTTCTTGGACATTTTTGTACTCTTCTTACCAAACTCAAGTTGGTTTCATCACAACCACCTTGAGTTTGAGGGGGGATGTTAAGATGTGAACACAATCATTCAAATTATATTCATAATTATTGTAAATATTTTATACTTTAGAATATTCTCTTTGAATACTTTATACCTTAAAATATTTTCTTTTATACCTTAAAATATTCTCTTTGTAAACACATATATATAAACCATTGTACATACAGTATTATTCAAGAAAGCAATAAGCCTTTCTTCAAATATTTCTTCTCCTTTCCTATTTCTAACACTGTAATCTTATCAAACTCAAGTTAGTTTCATCACAACCACCTTGAGTTTGGGGAGGGATGTTAAGATGTGAACACAATTATTCAAATTATATTTATAATTATTGTAAATATTTTATACTTTAAAATATTCTTTTTAAATACTTTATACCTTAAAATATTCTATTCTATACCTTAATATATTCTCTTTATAAACACCTATATATAAATCATTGTACATACAATATTATTTAAGAAAGCAATAAACCTTTCTTCAAATATTTCTTTTCCTATTTCTAACAATGCATGAAGTCCGCTGGAGCCAAAAACAATTTGGGGACAAGCAATAATTTTGATGAGCAAACAACGGGCTTAAATGGTCCAACCGAAGGTATAACTCATATATAGCAAATCTAATTGGTATTGCTTGTAGCAATGTTCAAAAACAGTGCTATAATGCTTTTTTTAGGAAAACAGTGCTACAATGCTTATATAAATGGGTTGAGTACTCTTGCACTTTTTAATAATAAATATTATTGTCATTCAAGAAAAATACTAAGAATTTGATTTTATATATTATTTATGATCAATTTATGATTATAAATTAAATTTATCTTTTCAATCTAATTAAAACATATATATTATCTCTCACCAAAATTAAAGTAAAGGATTTGTGAAAAGATTACCATTAGAGGTGTTCGCAGTGTAATTTGGTTCAGATTTTAATGTTTTTTAAACCAATCTAATTTAGTCGATTAATAAAATTTTTAAATCAATCCAATCCATTATTATATGATAACCAAACCAATCCAAATTAAATTGGATTGGTGTGGGTCTGTCGAATTGATCGGTTTTTAACATTATTGAATATATAAGATAATGTAAAAATATTTTAACATAGAATAGAAAGCATAACCATAAAACATATTAACATACAAATCAGTAAAAACATAATAAAAAATACAAATTATAAATGAATTCTTATACTCCTTTACATTTGTAAAAATTGAAAAGATCTGAAAATTCTTCTTGGTTACATCACTAGAGGCACCAAGAACAATAAAAGATGACTTTAAGTTTCTAGCATAATGTAAATAATTTTTAAAAATTAAAATTAATTTTTTTTCTTAATGCATTAATAATTTAATCTCATTTTCTAAATCCTGTTAAAAGTGAATAAAATTTAACATGAATATCACTAAAATTGATTAGAAGCACTCATAATCAAAATTTAAAACTTCTAAACTAAATAACTAAGAATAGTAGAATATCAAGATTAATTTTATTATATAGTTTTAAGACTTTTAGAATGATACTTATTTAACATTTAGTTAGGAGAATCATAAGATTATTTTAAGAATAAATTAAAAATTTAGGGTTCTAAGAGTAAAGGCGTAAACCAATTTTGAGGGGATAGAGTTGCAAGTGAATTAGAAATTTAGAATTAAGGTTAAAGTGCATAATTAAAATG